GGGGCTGCTGGGGGGGGGATGTTTAAGCAGCTCAAGTCCGGCATCTGCACATGCTATACAAAAATCACGGGTCGACATGAGGATTTTGACCCGCCCGCCCCGAGCTGAGGCCGAATTTGTCATTTCTGATGGCTTGCTTTAATGACGCGCCTGGCTTTTAGGGAAGGGCGCTCGGGTCACCCGTCGCACCGCAGACGGGAAAAGGATTCGAGACAAAAACAGGATCTCTAAACCCTGAAGTGGCCCGAGTCGGTATTTGCTTTGGGCATTCCGCATTTATCAAATACGTGATCGCAAATAATGAGAAATATTTTTTACCCCGGAGGTAATCAATGCTAAATTATAATTAGCATCTTTTATAAATGCCGGATAATTGGAGTTTGACAATATGGATCATTCAGTAGCCCTCGGCACTGCTTTCCTTTCTTTTGTTACCACATAATGTCTCTAGGAATTTTTCAGTAGATCCCAGTGGAGCGGGAAGCACACAATGTGATTAACAACCTCTCTGAAAAAATTGCCGGCACCCCTTTCGAAATGGCGAGATCTGAAAACTCGCCACTAATTGCAATGGCCGGCCAGACGGACTGCGGCATCTAGATCTTGGAAGTGCCTCTCTGCTTGACTTCTTAAAGACATAGTCTTTCCTGCCAGTCCACTCCTATAAAACTGCTACAATTGACTCTCATTGTTTTTTTTGTCAATTATCCTTTTCTCTGTCCTCAACAAATATTAGCACATTGCTTATATTTTTAGACCATCCTTTGGAATCTCTCTGCTTTTGAGTGGTTCCCCTTCCTGTGTTCCATAGACGTAAGATCGTTCCTCATTTTCGGACCCATTCAACACTTGCGTCTGGCTCAAATTTGCTTACCACCCCCACCCTGTGCCAGAGGCTGAACTCTAGCCCTGATCCGTTTGCAGTGCAGAGCCCGCTCCCTTCTTGAAAGCTTTTCAAAAAGGTGGCTTCATGCTTTTTCCCATGCTGCCCTTTACTGTTAGGTGGGGCTGCCTGCGACTATCGCTTCACCGCATCCCATCAAATTCCTCGTTAAATTACTTGCCTCGCTATCTGCAGCTGCAAGCTGCTGCCTGCTGGTACAGGCTCTGGGTTAGGGATCATCTCTGTGAAGTCCTTAGCACAAAAGGACCTAACTCGTGGGTAAAGGTCATACGTGCAACTGGGATACGGGTAACTGCATAGGTCCAAAGAGCAGGTATTTTTCTGCCTGTCTCACTCCCCGTGTCTGATCAGTAGATATGCTTAGCCCACGCCTGATCCCGCTCACAAAGGGAGCCCTCAGGCTTCCCTTTTACCTGGTAACGAAAATGCACACCCAGAGTTCAGGATTCCTGGATTTCAGTCTCTCTTTTTTATCCACAAGCACCAGAGCCTACAAAAAGCCTTGACCCCAGGGGCTAGGATCTATTTGGCAGTGGGGTCCGTTCAGTCCCTGTGGCTGTTCTACTTTGTGTGGAAATTAAGTATTGCTTGAGCAATGGGAAGACAGTGTTTGGCATACCACACAAAAAGAAATGGAGGAACCAGTGACTGATTATCCGATAAGGGCTCATTATCTTCCCCACCTGTCTTACTCTGCTAATTATGAGTGTTTTTCTAAACTCTGTAAGAAACAGAAGCGGTAACAGACAGAAGTTCACTTGGTAGTAAAAACCACAATGGAATTATCTGGGGAGTGACAAAATATCAGTCTTTATTAAATAATCCAGCTATCATTTTCCCTGTGGGAAGATTATCTGACATGTTAAAATTCCCATGGCACATCACAATAACTGTATGTTTTATAAATAGCTTATTTCCAGTATGTCTGTTTTCAGCTGAATCTGAGATCAGTCCCGTAATGTCAATTAAAACTAAAAGTCAGCCCTTCATGTCTGCCAAAGTACCGCTGATTTAAAAGGAATTTGCTGTCAGTTTACAGCAGATAAGAATCTGATGCTTTGATTCACAATGAATGATTTGAATGAATATTTGAAATAAGAACTAAACTAACATGGATATGATATTCAATCAACAGATTTAATGTATTTTATGCACTTGTAGCTGTAACTTGCGACTATTTCTGTTCCACGATAAGAACCATCAAAATCAGCTATTCTTAATTTCTTGGATGTATCTTTTTATTAGTTATATTTTTTCCATTTATGATATCAATGACAACAACAAAAATGTAAAAAAACCTCTAATGGTCAGTTTCTGTTCTGGGTTACCATGCTAGTTCAGTAGCAGAAAGTTGGGTCTTTGCTAAATCTAAAGCACTGTTCAGGAGTTCATAAGATTAAGTACGCTAACCCAAAATTAAAAAGCAAGTGACTGTAAAAAGCACTAAATATTAAGGAAAATATAGTACTGTGCAAATGTGAAATTGTAAAAACAATCCTAGGCCACAAAAAGCAATTAATCAGTTCTAGGCCTTGACAAGTATTGTCATCCTATGGTAAAATAAATCCATTGTCTATTGATCAGCAGTTGCTGACCGTCCTGTTTCCACAGTTGGCAAACATTCTCTGGACAGCAGAAGTCCTGGGATTATGAGATTTTAATACAAGTACTTTGCACTGATCACATGAGAGATCTTGGTCTGAGGAACAGAATAGCTTTTTCTAATATTTGGGAAGAAAGAATGTAGAATGTGGTGTACTTACCAGATTAGATCTGAATATCAGGAACAGGGGGAGCGGATTTTGAAAGAACAATCTAAATACATGCGATTGTGTCAGACGTGGCTCTGCAGGCACGAGAGGTTGGGATTCAAACAAAAGAGTTGCTTAATATCCATCCTCGCTTACGGGCAAACACATTCAGCAGAAGTACGGAGCAGAATAACTTGCCTTAAATTCAGTAACAAAAATGGGCTTTGAAGTACTGTTAAAACTTCCTCTCCTTCCTCTTTGCGGGAAAGCCTCTGGCTGTTGGAACTGAGCAAACATGACTTCTAGCTTGCTTGTGGCAACTGAAATCTGATAGATGTCCATTACCACATCTAACTCGGGTAAAGTATCTGACAGGAAAAAATAATGGAAGTTGAACATCAAATGTAGAGATATCCAGCTCATCTTAAATCTGTATTTACTAGGCTGGTTAGGTTAGATTAATGAATTTTGTTAGATAAACGTGTACGGTGCTTTTAAGATTGAAAGTTGCTATAAATATATTGCCAGTTGTTAACTTTTTCTCATGATCACCAAGTTGGGCAGTGTTTTCCTGTTCGGGGAAAAAACAGTAAAACAAAGAAACTTGTGTTCCAATGAAAAAGAGAGAGAGAGAGAGAAAGAAAGAAAGAAAGTCTGAAAAATAACTCAGTCGATCAATAGGTACATAGAGACAGAAAGATTTAGAAAGAAAATTTCATGGTTCATGATGTAAGTAACCATATTGCGCTCCTACCCTGATTTCCATGCAGAGAGCAGGCAATTGCTGGCTTGTAAGCTGGACATCTGCACTGGGCAGTTAAGCAGGGTTTGTAATAAAGGATAGAATGAGAGGCCACGTGGATCAATATGACCCATTTGGGAAGAGTAGCACAGATTACGTAAAAGAAAATCCTGTTTTGTAAGCCTCTAATGAATTTTTCAAGGGGTCAGCAAGCATGCAGATAAGAGTGATCTAATTGATACAATCTACTTGAATTTCCCATCAGCTTTTGGTGAAATCCTTAACCAAAGTCTTTTAAGGAACTAAAGCAATGGAATAAGGGGAGAAATCCTAGACTGAATAAAGAACTGGTTGCCAGAGAGGAAATGCAGGATAGGGGCAAACATTTAATTCTTGCAGGGGAGAATCATTCCCAGAGAGTTCCACAGGGAACCGGGCTGAAAATTGTGCCATTCGATGTGTTCATAGATGACCCAGAAAAGAGATCAGATGGTACAATGAGAAAATTGGCTTATGAGAAAGTTATTTGGCAGAGTAAAGATGAATACAGGTTGCAGGAAACTGTAGAAGGACCTGAAAAGGCTTGGTGGCTGGGCAGCAAAGTGTCAGAAGAAATTCAGACAGTTAATGTAAAGCGATGCACATAGCAAGCAAAAAAATCCTAGTTTCACGTGAAGATTCATGGCCTCTTGACCATTACCATACAGGAGCAAGACTCGAGGATCGCAACAGAAAGTTCCATGAAAACATCATCTCAGTGCTCAGCAGTGGTCAGAAGTCATATGGAGAGTCAGGAACTGTTAGAAAAGGAATTTGAGAACGAAGTAGAAAATGTCATTGTGCTACTGCATAAACCCACGGTTCACCCCAGACTTGAATACTGTGT